GCTCGCATCAAATTTAAAACTCTGCTCGCGCTTACAAAACAGCGACAAAACCGTCTCCTCCTTACTTTAACTCTCTGATCCAGGTCTACACTCCCTCCCCCCTCTACGCTCTGCCAATAAAGGCGTCTGATCCAACCATTCACAACAGGTCCAGTCTCTGACTGGACTCTTCTCCTCTGTCGCCCCCCGGTGGTGGAATGAACTTCCAACTCCATGTGATCTGCAGAGTCCCTCTGCACCTTTAAGAAAAAGCTAAAGACCCAGCTCTTTCATGAATACCTACTAACTTAATGATGATGTCTCCATATTATTGATGATGATGATGGTTGTGACGATGGTTTTTGTTTGATAATGACGACTTATAAGATGGTTTCTATACTGATTAGAGCTCTCAAGAACTGCCCTCAATTGTGCTTTGCCTCTGGTCACTTCCTGTCAGCACCTGTGTGTCCAATCAGACTCAAAGCTGATCGTTTGCTCTTACTGACATTGTTCCCTTTTTCTAGATCCTTGCTTGTGTTGTTCTTACTCTCTGATGTACGTCGCTTTGGATAAAAGTCTGCTAAGTGAATTGTAGAATGTAGAACGTCTCCCACCAGTACGGGTTTCACGTATGACTCGGGTTGTCACCATACCAGAATTTCAAACTTTGATACGATTTTTGAATAATCCAACTTTATGAATACCCTTTTCAATATCACAGGAACAATAACAAAATCCTAGAACACCAAGATTGGGAACGTTTCAGTAGTTATCACGTTTCTGATCGGCCATGCAAGGTATTGACAGAGGTGCACGGGACGAGCGGCGGCGATGTGTAACTTAGTAGGCTTCAAGGAGGAACAGCAGTGTGTGTGTGTGTGTGTGTGTCTGTGTGCATGTCTTGAATGTGTATGTGGAGCTCCTGCTGTGATTACACACTGTGACTCATGTGCGTCCGTAGTAAAACACAATAACAAAGTGTCTAATTATACATCAGGAGTTTAGGACACAAACATTACTCTGTTGCTGAATCAATGTAGAAACACAAAAGCGTAACTAGGGATGGGAATGAAGGAGTTTTTATTTATTGATATCGATTCTGCTTACCGATCCAATTCTTTGTGATCCCTAATCCCAAATGAGAGAATATATGCTCAGCATTCATTTTCTCCTAGGTCTCAAGTCAAAGAAAAATCTGTCGTTAAGCCTGGCCTGTATGCGTTGTTCACATGGTACTCCTTTATAATTAATGCTGTGCTGCGTCGACACATGTTTCAGCATGTTGCCAGTGTGGACCCAATGTCTCCTGTTGGCCATGATGACTCCTTGCTATAGTGTGACATCATTGTTTTTTAAGGCACGCAGCACTTAGTGGAAGGCGTTGATAAAGAAATCGTTAAGTAAAGTCAAATGATGTCAATGGATGAAACTGGCTGGACCCGGTTCTCTACTTCTTCGTTCCAGTCCCTTGGCGTGATGATGGCAGAGCTTTGTACTGGCTCTGTTGAGGACTCACACATTAAAGGGAATAACATAAAATGAACTGGAATACTTGAGTCTGCTTACACATTTTTAACTTTCAGTTGGTAAAAAGGAAACCTTAGAGATATGTCATCAAGACATAGATCATGCTTTCAGATCACAGGCACTTCATCTTCTGTGTTTCCTCTGAGGATATTTTCTCATCTTTGGCTTCATTTAAAGAATTCAAAATTACAACACAGCTCAGTGTTGTCACATTTATTGCCTGGGAAACAACAGTATACTACTCTTATCTGTTCTCTGGAGACTATCTGTGTATGTCTGTGTGTGTTTGCATGAAGATTGTCAAAATGAACGCTACTCTCTTCACTCTCTAACTTTTGATACCACTGATTCTAAACTATACAATAGTATCAAAAACTCCCAAAGCTACACAGAAACTTCAGATCTTCTGTCATATTTTAACCGAAAGCTGCCACACACAAAAACGAGAGAGAGAGAGAGAGAGAGAGACAGCGGTGGCCCATTCAAATTCACAAGCTGGTGATACTGACTTTCCTCACTTTTGACGTCTTTCACACACAGACAGAGAGCAGAGGAGGTGACACTGTCTAAATGACAGACATACAGAAACACTGAAGACATATTTGTGCGATTAAGACAGAGTGCAGGAGTTTGTCTGCAATTGATTGGCAAAAAAACAATCAAAGGTTAAAATTCTGGTATCATGACGACCTTAGTTAGTCACTTTTTCCATGAAGATGAAGCACTCATCATTTCCAGAGAACCTCAGATTGTATTCTATCAACGACACATAATGCCCGGGACATTTTGATAAAATAATTCCACATGTCGACTTTGTGTGAAGTAGTTCCTCTTGCTGACTTGTTGCTCAATGTGATTGTCTTATCTCCTGTCTTTGTTGGTGTGTTTCAGGTGGAGTGGATACAGCAGCAGGTGGTGAAGAGGAGGATAAAGAGGGATTACAAACCAAACCCGCCCCTTTCCCTGTCCAGCCCCGCCCTCAGCAGCCGGCCCAGAACAACATATTCTACAATGACGCCAAGTGGAGCAGTATGTGGTACATTGTGAGTTAAATAACACTTTTTTTTTTTTTTTTTTTTTACAGAGTCACTGCACCAAAGGAACAAGAATGTAATGTGGAGAAGGAGCAGTACAAATCACTCAGTGCAGTTCATGTATTCTTAGAGGATTGTGAGGAATACACATGAATCTAGGTTGTGGGTCAAAGGCTACCCGAGGCCGTGTCATGATCCTGATTTACTGCGGGGTCAGTGGAGCTGAGGGATTTGCGTGAATGTGTGTGTTTTTGCTGAATGAACGGATAAAAAGAGCCATTGTGATGCAATTGTTGCCTTTTTTGTTTTTCCTCGACTCGAAAGAGAGAGAGATGATTTAGGGTCAAGGTTCGACGATCCGTGTTTAAACATAAATGTTTGCTGCAGGGGAAAAAAGTCCACAGAGGCAGAAATATACATGTCAGCGTGTTCCCTGCGTTTCAACATCCTTCCTCCGAGAACAGCAGCGTCGTGCATGCACTCGTTCCCGCTCATAGACACACACACACACAACACACACACACACACACACACACACACACACACACACACTTAGAGTGCAGAGATTTGCAGGCTTATCACAAGTGTTGTCATACACCCTCAGATCATTGCTCTTTTAGTTATGTTCCGTGTGTGTGTGTGTGTGTGTTGTGTGTGTGTGTGTGTGTGTGTGTCTGGTTGAGTGTCCTCATCTCAGTAAATGATCGACTGATTGCTGATAAATTCTAATACTTTGACCGGAGCTTTTCAACATATTTTTCTAACTGTTGGAAACAGAACTCTGTGAACTTGATTTGTGTTTTCATGTTTAGACAGACGTCAAAGCTTCTTCTGGTCATTCCCATTATATTCTAGAGAGACAAATCGGATGGTCTAGTGTTTTTTGTTTTTTTTGTTGCGTGTTGAGTAGTTTATGTTGGTGTCTTACTCAGGAACACATCTTAATTCATTCAAGCAAAAAGAAAAAAACTATTGAAGAAATAATTTCTAAAATCAAAATGAAGCGTGTCAACCTCCAATGTTGAAACATGAAGCAAATGCAGAATTAAAAAAACAAACTGCAGTTCCTGAAGTGTCCTCTTGAGGCTGGCTCAAACAACCAAGGAAGATTCAAGATTCAAAATGTTTATTGTCATGTGCACAGTAGGAAACATGTTTCCCTGTACAATGAAATTCTGTCTTTGCTGTCCACAATGAATGCCAACAATAAAATATTAAAATTAAACGTAGCCTAATAATAATAATAATAATAATAATAATAATAATATATACAAAAAATAAGGCAATTTGAAGGCAGTAGAGTGCAAATAGAAAATGTAAACTGCAAAAAAATGAATGTAATATGTGCGAACTGAGCATGAGGTAGTTTGTGATTGTTACACTCCTGTGAGTTGTTTAGGAATCCTTATAAGTCCTGTATTAAACTGACAGTTTTTACAACATAAATAAACACGTTTACACCCTGGTATGAAAAGCAGTTTTGGTCTCTATAGGTCTTTTACTTTTTGGAAAAAAGAATGAAGAGGGTAAGATTTTATTCAACTCATCTTTGTTTATTACATTAAGGTCAAGAGGTATGCTTACATCTGCATACTTGAGGGTGCAGCTGAGTTTACTGACAAGTCGGGACGTTTTAGCTGTTTGTCATGAGGCTTAAGGCCCGCCCCCGCTCCACCTCTTTGCATGTTTCTAGATTGACTGGAGGTTGGTTAGAGCCAGCATTTCAAATATGGCAGTCATTTGGCTTCATAACGTCTATCCTCTTAATAAACAACTTGTGGCAAATGAAGTATTGAAAACAGATCAGCTGGATAAATTGAAGTGCTAAAACAATTATCTGGGTTCTTGTGACTGATACAGAGCCAGCTGTGTAACCTCCATCGATGAACGGAATGTGGAGAGTTGAAAAGAAGAGAAATTAAATAAAGACGCTTATTTCTTGTTTAGTCTGTGGGTTTTTTTCCCCAGAGTTGTTTGGCTTTTTTTTCCTTTTATTGGATAAAACAGCTGAAGAGAGTCAGGAACATGTTGGGAGGAGAGAGAGAGGGATGACAGGCAGCAGAGGGCTGAGGTCAGATTCAAACCCACAGCCGGTGCAACGAGGACTACAGCCTCTGTACATGGGCCACGTGATGTAACCGCTAGGCCAGCCTTTCCCAAACTTAAGACTGCCGCGGGCCACTTGAAATACAAAATGACTCCGGGCCCGTTATAAAAAAAATGTTATGACTAAATCTATTACTTTCAGTAAGGGTAAAATTATGGACATGACAACATGATATTATGGCAAGATAGACACAAAAGTTTACCAAACATTATGTCTATGAATAGTCATGACACGCCTTACTAATCACTTAAAGGGTTGACTCGTGGAAAATCATCATTATTGTGATATTTATTTTATTTCTATACTTGGTTGAAGGCTTTTCGCAGCCCACCTGCAGTACCCACACAGCCCACCAGGGGCCGCGGGAAACACTGCGCTAGGCGATCAGTGCTCCCAGTCTCACTGTTTGTCGATGAAGTTTACATCAAGACTATTTACATCTTGCAAAGTGTTTACAACTCTTAGGAAACACTTGACATTTCAATCCCTTGGTCGACATGTACTTTGTATTTTATGGTGAAAAAACGTCTGAGAATTCACTTTAAAACTCACTTTAACTTAAAGTGAGCGCTCACTCATGGCTGTAAGTTGAGCTTAAAAATGTCATGATGTGGGCACGCTTAAGGAAGGTTACATCTTACACCTGTGGGATGCACATTGTCACCTTTTCTCTTCTAACATCCCGCTTCTTATCTCTGCAGCACTGCAACGATGACGTCCACAACTGCCAGTCCGACATGAACATCATGGGGGCGTGGAAGAGGGGCTACACGGGTAAAAACGTGGTGGTGACCATTCTGGACGACGGCATCGAGAGGAACCACCCGGACCTCTTTCAGAACTACGTGAGTGTGTATGTATGCGCGTGCAGGGCGGCTATGAGCGGCGGATGTGTGTTTGAGTGTGTGAATGGCGAGTGCGGGAGTCTCAAGGTTTCAGGGTTGCAGACTGTCCTGAAATGTATTTATCCCGTTGTCTCACACAGATGGAAAGATAAATACTTTACTCAACTAAGGCATCCAGTGTCAGCTTACAAGACACGACGTGATACATTTAAAAACAAAGAACAAAAGAAAATACTCAAAAAATGAGGCTTGGAAGCTCCTCCCACTTCCTATTTCTTTTTCTAGTGAGGTCGTCTGATTGGCTGATGTCCATCGTCATTCTTCTTTTTTTATTTTTGTGTTTTCTTATCGTTATTCCAGAAAGTTCCCGGGTACGGTTACCTGATTGGCCGCTGCTGAGTGACTGACAGTTGGCTTGTTATCTAAACGGACCAATGGGAAAACAGCATCGAGTTGTAATTAATGAAAAAAAACCACATCATGTGACAGAGTGATGTGACAGTAAATGAGAAATGATAAAATGCTGTCGTCAGGTCACATGTTCCCGCATCGTGCTTCCTCATACCTGTGTGTGTGTGTGTGTGCAGGTATGCTTTATTGGTGTGTGGTCACATGCAGAGGTGTGTCTGCCTCAGAGGTAAAGATAGTTAGGAGGAACGTCTTCCCTGCCATCCATCAGCTGAGCAGATGAAATGATTCACTCCCTGTTGGACGATATCCGCGCCGTGTTATTAGCAGATTGTAATGCCGGGATTTGTTGATGCCGAAGGGCGACGACACAGCAGAATGAGTTAGCTCTGATTGATTCGATTTACTAAAACTGTTGTGAGTGAGTGAGGCCGATGTGAGCTGTTTGATTGGTTAGAGAAGCTTTGTGGCGTTCAGGTCTATTAACACACACACACACACACAAACACAGATTCCTTTACTTATTCAATCAAATACACTTGTCATTTTTTAAATTCTTTATTTTAGACTGCAGACAGCATGTACAGTGTTATCTGCAATCTGACATAGCAGACAGAAAAAACAGTTGAATTTCCTCTGCAGTCACAGGATAAATAAAAAAAATGTCTCAGAAACAGTCTCAAGAAAGACAAAGTAAGAAAACAATGAAGTGTGCAAAGATAAGACAGAATCACAAAGACTTTGGTTGCTCACTTCTTCAGAATCTGTCCGTAGAGGCCGTTCATTTAACCCAGTTGGACCAAAGCGAAACAAAAACATCTTTCTGGAGACGCAAAGAAAAAAAATCATAAATATCATGTGTTAAATCAATCCACTCGTGTGTCTTGGGGGGTTTCAGGAAGCAATCAGGCGCCTGTGATGGCTTTTTTTTGCAAGCTGAGATCAATATACCAAACAAACGGGTATTTACAGTATCAGCACCCCCCAAGTCTGGAAGTGTAACTTCCTAGAAATATGGTGGTGAATTACAGTGGCAGGTCCATGTTCAGAATGCTTTTTATGAAACTCTAACCAGAACGGTTTTATCACAGGGCGCTCCCAGAAAACAAGCCAGTGGTTTGCTTCCTGAGATCCACACTTCCTCCAACACTCGGTGTCCTCCTCCTGCAAAATGTGCTTTCTGCTTCGTTGTAAAACACTTCCAACTAAATTCCCTCCACACTGGAGAGTTTTTTTTGTGTTTGTTTTACATTTCCACATATCTAAACCTCTCTAAGATGATTTTACATCTGTCACTTTGGTGTGAGGTTGTCAAACATTTGATGCTTCTGTACTTTTTGATACATGTTTTTTAAACGTTATTTTAATAATCCACAGTATTGAAAAGCTCTTAAAAACACAACATCCATTGCATAAGACAGGAATGAGTCCATCAAAAATACAACGCAAACTCCTGCACACTATCTAAACTGCACTTATACATTGGCAGCGTTTCGGTTCAGAGATGCTGACAGTGAATTGTGTGATTTCAGACAGTGTGCAGGAGTTTGCCTGCAATTTTTGGGAATTAAAATAACATATTAAACCAATATTGGGTGCCTGAGACCACATCTATTTATGGTTATTGTAGTAACAAAACTGGTATGGATCATTTGATTTTGACTAGTATCAAATCAAACTTTGATATTCTGGTGTCATGGCAACCCCACTGAGATGTTTGATGCACTTATTCCGACCTTTCGTGTCTCCTCCAGGATCCTCAGGCCAGCTTTGACGTCACGGCAACGATAGACCCCATGCCTCGATATGACCACAAACGAGAACAAGTAAGAAAACCTCAGATTCAATAAGAGCGAGAGAGAAATGTAATTTTAAACAGTTTCCATATGGTTCTGTTAAATAATAAAATAAGGAGTGTGGGCTGAGTGTTTTGTACTCCTGGTCAGATAAATGGTGTTCTGCGTGTCAGTGTTTATCTGATTGATTTTTACCAGAAGCTCTGCCTCAACATGTTTGTGTTTGCAGAGCCTGACCTTGTTGTGGGTGCCATGAGTTACATTAGTGTGTTTGATTGTGACATTTGTGGGTGGTTGTGGTTTTTCTGTTGGTAGAGTTGGTGTGTGTGTGTGTGTGTGTGTGTGTGTGTGTGTGTGTGTGTGAGAGAGTGTGAGAATGGAAACAAGAGAGGCTCCCTCTTCTAGCACTTGTCTTGTGCCAGTTTGGCTTAGTAAGTGATTTTTCGTGTGTGGTGTGTGTGTGTGTGTGTGTGTGTGTGTGTGTGTGTGTGTGTCTGCAGTGTCTTGGCACTGTCTCCGTCCCTGCTGTGATGCATTGTCTTAAAGAGACATGAGGCCTACAGATGCAGCTTAATGAGCTGGTTTCCTTTAAGGCTCAATGTTTGGACAAAGATGATTTCCTCTCTTCAGTTTTCTTTTTATTTCACTCATTTTATTCCAGATTCTCGAATGTGCTAAATGTTGCATGGTGGATTCATGTCGGGTCTTTGAGAATAATTTAACAAAGACAGCGATCTATTCCTGCTCTTTTTTTATAATGTGTCTCGAGATGATATTTGTATGAATTGGCGCTAAACAAATAAAGATTGGTCGATTTATTGAAACGGCAGCTTGTGTCAAACGTATGTTTAGCAATGCTTGTGGATTTAAATCTTAGATTGTGTTTAAGTGACGCTAACAGCTGTGCAGGAGGGGAAAGCCGAGCACATCATCACTCTGCATCACTCATGTTCATTTCACTCCTACATGATATGAGAGAAATAGAAAGGTCAGTGATAAGGACATTAAGTGTGATTGTAATCAGAGAATAAACGATTGAAACGTTCATTTCCCCAGACGAGATTTTCCATGCAATGATAACAAAAAAACATCAGGAACCATACAGGATCACATAATGAACCTGAAACAAAGTCATTGAGGAGCACATGAATAAAGCATGCGCATGGTAACCCGATCTGTCAGCTGCAAAGTTCAATAAAGAGCAGAGTGTTGAGTTCATCCTGTGTCATCAGAGGTCGTTTAACAGGTCGCGGTGGATGTGGACAGAAGATGAGATGCCTCTTCTGGTCGACATCCTGGGCATTAAAAGAAACATGTAAAGAGGTTCTGTGTCTATCTGGTGTTCTTCATGTTTTTTCAATGTTAAATTGATGCCACCAGATTCAAGATTTCCTGTTTTACAGCAGAATTTAACATGTTTACAGCCTGGTACAAAAAAGTCTGATTATTATTGTCATCTTGGGCACCCACTGTATGGGGGGTGCATTCTTTTAAACGGTCCCCTTTTGACTTTTGATGAACGATACCTGTTATCAATAGTAAGGTGCGTAGTTGACATGATTGACAGGTGGGCGGGATGTAACGGTTCGTCAGGAGGCTTAAAACCTGCCTCAGATCTCAGCCTGTAGTTAGGTTGACTGATAGTTAGTCTGAGACAGGATTTCCAGCCTGGCGGCCGCTGCTGATGATCCTGCAGACTGTAACAGATGGCTGATGTCTTTCTCTCTCTCTCTCTCTTCTCTCTCTCTCTATCTTTGTCTCGCCTCTCTCTCTCGCTCTCTCTCTACTCTCTTCTCCTCTCTCTCTCTATCTTTGTCTCGCTCTCTCTCTCGCTCTCTCTCTCTCTCTCTCTCTCTCTCTCTCTCTCTCTCTCTCTCTCTCTCTCTCTCTCTCTCTTCCTGATTTCTGACTCTATCCACGGTCCTATCTCTAATCAAGGAATAAAAGGCCAATGATGAACATCTTTAAAAAGTGTCACATGGAATGATTACTGTTATTGAATGATTCAGTGCATAAACGTTTTCTGGCGTTGGTTGTAACAAAGAGAGTTACGAAAGTGTGACGGAAGAGGTTTAGAAAACAGAAAAAAACAAAACAAAGTGTGGAAGAGACAACCAGACGGAGCGTTTAATGGATCAGTGGAGTGAAATGAAGTGAGGAAAACTGTTGAAGCGTTTTATAAAAAAGCAGGAGCCAGAAGTTTGGCTCATTAACTTTGATAAAGAGGTCTCTCTTCTCTTCTCTGAAACATGTGAGTCATTGTAGCAGATAGCACCCATGCTGGTTCAAACAAGGAGGATTGCAATATTTATTTTTGTAAAATCGGTTTAAATTGTCCATATTTGTATAGATTTATTATTGCGAGGAATTGTAACATCCCCACCATAAATATGAAGCTTCGGGAAAGACGGGAAATAGGGAATCATGTCGTCTGGCTCTGACATAAGTACAGATATTGATATTTTTATTATCTTAACTAATAATGTTATTGTAGTGTTTGGTATTATGTGTAAGAATTCACAAAGCTGTGGTAAACAAGGCATTTCTGTGCTAGCTTCACAACAAACAACTGTCAGGTTTTCAAATAAAAGTTTTTTTAAACTGAAGTGTAAGAATTGAACTTTTGATCAGATAGCAGGAGCTGTTCCGTCTCGTCTGAACGTCGTCATGGAGACGTGGACACTTCTTTCAGTTCAGTCTGAATGTCTCAAAGTGAGACTGTGCGTGCTCAGAAGGTTTAAAGCGCTCAATCGCTTTCATGATCGGTGACCCCGATATCAATATGAGAATTACGTAATATCGGACTTTTTTTTTTTACTTGGTAGTAATCATTTATTTCGTCACAAGAAAATACAAAAACATTTTGACTGAAAAGGTGTAGGCTGAAGCTTTAGCTTATTACAAATCTTATTATTTAAGACACGACTAGTTTGATTACAAAAAAACAAAACATATCAGAACAAAATTTTGTTCCAAGAATTTCTTTAAACCTTTCTTTTCAAGACCTGATTACGATATTAGATCTGATCTGATCTTATCTCAAATGTCCGTCAATAAAG